TTTTTTTTTTTGGGCAAAAATTAAGTTTCTCCAATCTTTCCCAAAAACTCTGGATTCTGATAGAGGGCCATGAGACTTAGACCTGAGTGCAAAATGGAGGCTCTAGCCCTTCCAGAGCTGAGATATCGAAACTCAAAAATTCGGGCCGAAAAAAAAACGACAGTGGTACCCTTACGTTTTTTTTTTTGGGCGAAAAATTAAGTTTCTCCAATCTTCCCAAAACTCTGGATTCTGATAGAGGGCCATGAGACTTAGACCTGAGTGCAAAAAATGGAGGCTCTAGCCCCTTCCAGAGCTGAGATATCGAAACTCAAAAATTCGGGCCGAAAAAAAAACGACAGTGTACCCTTACGTTTTTTTTTTTTTGGCAAAAATTAAGTTTCTCCAATCTTCCCAAAATCTGGATTCTGATAGAGGGCCATGAGACTTAGACCTGAGTGCAAAAATGGAGGCTCTAGCCCCTTCCAGAGCTGAGATATCGAAACTCAAAAATTCGGCCCGAAAAAAAAAACGACAGTGGTACCCCTTACGTTTTTTTTTTTTGGGCGAAAAATTAAGTTTCTCCAATCTTCCCAAAACTCTGGATTTCTGATAGAGGGCCATGAGACTTAGACCTGAGTGCAAAAATGGAGGCTCTAGCCCCTTCCAGAGCTGAGATATCGAAACTCAAAAATTCGGCCGAAAAAAAAAACGACAGTGGTACCCCTTACGTTTTTTTTTTTTTTTGGGCGAAAATTAAGTTTCTCCAATTTTCCCAAAACTCTGGATTCTGATAGAGGGCCATGAGACTTAGACCTGAGTGCAAAAATGGAGGCTCTAGCCCCTTCCAGAGCTGAGATATCGAAACTCAAAAATTCGGCCCGAAAAAAAAACGACAGTGGTACCCCTTACGTTTTTTTTTTTTGGGCGAAAAATTAAGTTTCTCCAATCTTCCCAAAACTCGGATTCTGATAGAGGGCCATGAGACTTAGACCTGAGTGCAAAAATGGAGGCTCTAGCCCCTTCCAGAGCTGAGATATCGAAACTCAAAAATTCGGCCCGAAAAAAAAACGACAGTGGTACCCCTTACGTTTTTTTTTTTTGGGCGAAAAATTAAGTTCTCCAATCTTCCCAAACTCTGGATTCTGATAGAGGGCCATGAGACTTAGACCTGAGTGCAAAAATGGAGGCTCTAGCCCCTTCCAGAGCTGAGATATCGAAACTCAAAAATTCGGCCCGAAAAAAAAACGACAGTGGTACCCCTTACGTTTTTTTTGGGCGAAAAATTAAGTTTCTCCAATCTTCCCAAAACTCTGGATTCTGATAGAGGGCCATGAGACTTAGACCTGAGTGCAAAAATGGAGGCTCTAGCCCCTTCCAGAGCTGAGATATCGAAACTCAAAAATTCGCCGAAAAAAAAACGACAGTGGTACCCCTTACGTTTTTTTTTTTTTTTGGCGAAAAATTAAAGTTTTCTCCAATTTTCCAAAACTTGGGTTCTGATAGAGGGCCATGAGACTTAGACCTGAGTGCAAAAATGGAGGCTCTTAGCCAGGGTCATCAAACCGTCGATTCGCGAATCGACATGTCGATCTTTGAGATTTTCCTGTCGATCGTGAAAATAATATTTAAAACAGCTTCAGCCCCTCTGAACTTCTGCCTACCCCCCCTAAAATGTGTGATTCAAGTTTAGGCTACACAAATTCGTGTTCTCTTCAGTGTTGTTTTAATCAGATTCAGCGCTTTGTCTTCAATCCGCAGTGGCGCAGAGCTGAGCGCACGCAGAGGACAGGTTGTGTGTGTGTGTGTGTGTGTGTGTACGTAACGTGACGTGTGCGTGTGTGTGTGTTGTTGACTGTGTTCATCTGAGCCTCATTGGTCTGTCACTGCTCATCAATGTCAAAATATTTGAGATGACCAATAAAATCTAAGTAGGCGGGCTGTATGTGCGTAGACGCTGCAGAGCGCGGGAGTTTTAGTCAAGTTAGTTACAGACAGCTAACATGGCTGAGGCGCCGCGAAAGAAGCCGCGAACCTATTATTTTCATCCGGAATGGGAAGAACAGTTTGTATTTACGTTAGTTAAAGACAAGTGTATATGTATGTTATGCCGGCAAACACAAGCACTGGCTAAAAGAGGAAATCTGGAGCGGCACCACAATGCTAATCATCCGACCTTTAAGGACAGCTATCCACCGAATAGCGCCATCCGTTCTAAAAAAGTTGCGGAGCTAAAGCTGGAATTGAAAGCCCAGCAGTCGCTCTTCACTAAACCTGCTGTTCGACATAAGGCTGCTACAGAAGCATCATTTCGTGTTAGTCACCTTTTGGCCAAACATAAGAAGCCTTTTACAGATGGCGAGTTAATCAAGCAGGCTATGGATATTATTGCCGACACAGTTTGCAACGACTTCAAAAAAAAAGATGACATCAAAACAGCATTCAGCAGTGTCCCGCTAGGCCCCGCAACAGTGACAAGAAGGGTCGAATCACTGTCGGAGGACGTGGATCGACAGGTGTTAAGGGACCTGTCATTTTGTGAATATTTCTCACTGCAATTGGATGAATCCCTGGATGTAATGGACACAGCTCAGCTTGTTGTATTTGTCAGGATGGTTTTCCAGGATTCTACAACCAAGGAGGACTTTCTCACTCTTCTGCACTTGAAGGACAGAACAAGAGGTGAGGATATATTTAACGAATTTAAAAAATACGTCGATGAAAATTGCATTCCCATTCATAAACTGGTGGCAATCACTACTGATGGGGCTCCGGCAATGCGCGGTGTGCGCTCCGGTTTTATAGCGCTGTGCCGCAATGATCCTGCTTTTCCAGACTTTTTAAATTATCACTGCGTAATTCATCAGCAGGCCTTGGTTGGGAAAGTCGTGGACTTCTCTCACGTCATGACACTAGTGGTCAAACTGATTAACTCGATTCGAGCAAAAGCTCTCCAACATCGTTTATTCAAGGCGTTATTGGATGAGCTTGATGCCGCTTACGGAGACCTGATTTTTCACGCTGATGTCCGGTGGCTAAGTCGCGGCAAAGTGTTACAGAGATTTGTTGACTTGCTGCCAGAGATAAAGACTTTTCTCTCAACAAGGAATGAGGAGCACAAAGAATTGTCAGATGATGCGTGGCTACTTGACCTGGGATTTCTGACAGACTTAACGGCAAAACTGAATGCACTCAACACTGAGATGCAGGGAAAAAACCGATCCCTGTCCCACATGATAAGCGCAGTGAATGCGTTCAAGGCCAAGCTCGGTTTTTGGACCACACATCTAAACGGGAGGAGACTAACACATTTTCCCAACCTGGAAAAAATGTCACAAACCATCAAAGACAAGGACGCGTTTCAACCGGAGCAGTACTGCGCTCACCTGGACAAAGTTGCGACGGAATTCAATCGGCGTTTTGGTGAGTTAGACGTCATGGAAGACATTGCTGCATTCGTCTCAAACCCATTTCAGCCCATTGATGTAGAAAAGATTGCAGCCAAATTTCATCAAGGATTCGCTTTGCAAAGTGGTGTTGACATGGAGATACTTGATTTGCAAAATGACTTAGAACTGAAAGCCAGATCAAGGGAAAGTGACTTTTGGGGACTTGTAAGTAGAGAGAAGTTTCCTCTACTCACTGCATGTGCACTAAAAGTGAGTGCATACTTTGGATCCACTTACCTCTGTGAAATGGCATTTTCACAAATGAAAATAATAAAATCAAAGTATAGGAGCCGCCTTACTGACAGACACCTCACAGACTGCCTCAGACTGGCTGTCTGCAGCTATGAGCCAAACTACAAAAAACTCACAGACAGTATTCAATCACAGGCATCGCACTGACTTGAGTGAACATTACTGCAAACGCTTTGCCTGTTGCCGTTTGGCCTGTTGTGAAAGTGATGCTGCATAAAATGGACTAGACCTGCATTTAGTTTAATTTACTGGGGAAGTTATTGCCATTAATCTTTCTTAAATTATACAAAGTAAATAACAAACATACATGAAGCAAAATCATAAGCTTCACAATGTTATTAATGGCACTTACATATGATCTGCTCATTACAAAAATGTGTTTATTTTTTTTCCCACTATGAACAAAATAACCTAATCTACATAATTCATAAATGCTGTTCATTATTAGTTCATGATAATGCATTAATTAATTTTTAAAAGTTCCCTCTTATCACCTAATTTTTCAAAGGCCCTACCTACATAATTCTATAAAGCAAATAGAAAATAGGCCACATTCCTTTCTTATTTGTATTCATATGAATTTAATGCAACTTAAAATTGATGTTGTGATGTAAAGTTCTTAAAGCAATACAACCTGTTTAATGCACCAGTTACAGTCTGCCTAAATAAAAGACCTCTAGTTGGAAGTATTTTGGCTTTCTTTCACTTTCTTCATTAGGTAGATCTTGCCTTTAATCAGGGCTGAGGTCAGGGATCTTAGGCTCAAAAAGGTTGGTGACCACTGCTCTAGCCCCTTCCAGAGCTGAGATATCGAAACTCAAAAATTCGGCCCGAAAAAAAAAACGACAGTGGTACCCCTTACGGTTTTTTTTTTTTGGGCATAAAATTAAGTTTCTCCAATCTTCCCAAAACTCTGGATTCTGATAGAGGGCCATGAGACTTAGACCTGAGTGCAAAATGGAGGCTCTAGCCCCTTCCAGAGCTGAGATATCGAAAAATACTCAAAAATTCGGCCCGAAAAAAAAAACGACAGTGGTACCCTTATTTTTTTTTTTGGGCGAAAAAATTAAGTTTCTCCAATCTTCCAAAACTCTGGATTCTGATAGAGGGCCATGAGACTTAGACCTGAGTGCAAAAATGGAGGCTCTAGCCCTTCCAGAGCTGAGATATCGAAACTCAAAAATTCGGCCCGAAAAAAAAAACGACAGTGGTACCCCTTACGTTTTTTTTTTTTGGGCGAAAAATTAAGTTTCTCCAATCTTCCCAAAACTCTGGATTCTGATAGAGGGCCATGAGACTTAGACCTGAGTGCAAAAATGGAGGCTCTAGCCCCTTCCAGAGCTGAGATATCGAAACTCAAAATTCGGCCCGAAAAAAAAAACGACAGTGGTACCCTTACGTTTTTTTTTTTTTTTTGGCGAAAAATTAAGTTTCTCCAATCTTCCCAAAACTCTGGATTCTGATAGAGGGCCATGAGACTTAGACCTGAGTGCAAAAATGGAGGCTCTAGCCCTTCCAGAGCTGAGATATCGAAACTCAAAAATTCGGCCCAAAAAAAAACGACAGTGGTACCCCTTACGTTTTTTTTTTTTTGGGCGAAAAATTAAGTTTCTCCAATCTTCCCAAAACTCTGGATTCTGATAGAGGGCCATGAGACTTAGACCTGAGTGCAAAAATGGAGGCTCTAGCCCCTTCCAGAGCTGAGATATCGAAACTCAAAATTCGGCCCGAAAAAAAAACGACAGTGGTACCCCTTACGTTTTTTTTTTTTGGCGAAAAATTAAGTTTCTCCAATTTTCCCAAAACTCTGGATTCTGATAGAGGGCCATGAGACTTAGACCTGAGTGCAAAAATGGAGGCTCTAGCCCCTTCCAGAGCTGAGATATCGAAACTCAAAAATTCGGCCGAAAAAAAAACGACAGTGGTACCCCTTACGTTTTTTTTTTTTTTGGCGAAAAATTAAGTTTCTCCAATCTTCCCAAAACTCTGGATTCTGATAGAGGGCCATGAGACTTAGACCTGAGTGCAAAAATGGAGGCTCTAGCCCCTTCCAGAGCTGAGATATCGAAACTCAAAAATTCGGCCCGAAAAAAAAAACGACAGTGGTACCCCTTACGTTTTTTTTTTTGGGCGAAAAATTAAGTTTCTCCAATCTTCCCAAAACTCTGGATTCTGATAGAGGCCATGAGACTTAGACCTGAGTGCAAAAATGGAGGCTCTAGCCCCTTCCAGAGCTGAGATATCGAAACTCAAAAATTCGGCCCGAAAAAAAAAACGACAGTGGTACCCTTACGTTTTTTTTTTTTGGGCGAAAAATTAAGTTTCTCCAATCTTCCCAAAACTCTGGATTCTGATAGAGGGCCATGAGACTTAGACCTGAGTGCAAAAATGGAGGCTCTAGCCCCTCCAGAGCTGAGATATCGAAACTCAAAAACAGT